GGGGGGGCTCAGCTGTAGCCCGGGTGGATTATGAAAACACCATCTGATGATCTTCCTCCACACTACTGCTTCATAAAGCCAAATTAGACAACCTGGGCCCATGCGCCACATGCCGCCCCATGTCAGAATGAGAATCACGAAGGATGACCTAAACAGTGTGGCATTTACTCGGCCTGACTTACTCCCTGTGAGGTGCCCAGTACCAGCTCATGAAACCCCCTCCTTGGCTCTCTACTACGTCACGCATAGCATGGGCAAAGGAAACACAAACCCAAGAGCTGCTGCCCGGCCGACATCAAGTTACCAGATTCTTTAATGACTATACAGTAATTTCAGAATGTGCCAGTCTTGACTTTCAGCATGTCATCAGGGATCCCTCAACCCCCTCTGGAGAAATACTCCTCTTGATACCTCTTGGATGGGGGGGAGGGAATCTCAGAAAATATGGGTGGCTTAGGTAACATGGCATGGCAACCCAAGCCGAACATTGTTGGGATGGATCAGCTGTGGCGGCTGCAGGGGGGGGGGGGACAGTCATCATCTGTATTGACAGAATCACACTGCTTCTCCCTGCTATCTAATAGCACGCAGATAAAGCCATAAATTTGCCGAACCTTCCTTAGTCTAAAGTGACGCGATGACAAATCGGCAGCGCTCCACGAAGCAGCGAACACGACACCGATAAACCATTTATGGAAACTACAACTCATGAACTGATGAGTCAGCCAAGTCACCGCGACCCAGCGACGTCACTCTGCTCCAGCCCACGGGCCGATGCGCCAGACTGCGCCGTGCTCTCTGGGTGCCGCTGCCATCCAGAGCTTCCGACATCCCTAAAGACGCCGAATTTCAACAGCAAAATCCAGCTCTGAGGTCACCGGGAAAAAGTCCTCGCCCAACTGAGGTCAAAAAACAGCAGAAAAGGCCATGGATATGAAAAATTCTTTATTTTTAAACTTGGAATCTGCCAAAACAAAAAAAATGGCAGAAAACTATGTTTCTCTATCCTAATTACACCAGGTATGCATACCCAAAGCTGAAGTAGGAGACTTCAGACCTGGTGGTCTTAAACGACAGGTAAGCTCTGCTCACACTTTAGATATTCAGCACACCCACGTATCATTGGGACGGCAAACAGGGGAAATTGCACCTCCTCTTTAAGCATACTGCTACAACAAAAATAATAATAATAATAATAATAATCGATGTCTAGCACCAATGTGACATAACCCACCATGGATGTTGACGGAGGTGTGAATGGGGGTTTGAGGATTCCGTGAGGTATCCTTGCTGTCTCTGTGAGGTATCCTTGCTGTCTCTGTGAGGTATCCTTGCTGTCTCTGTGAGGTATCCTTGCTGTCTCTGTGAGGTCACATTGTTGAAAGGGCAACACAGCCGTGGGAAGGAAATTGTTCCAATAAACAGGATGATGATACGTCTTGCGATTAACAGCCAGTTTGGCCCATTTCTGCATTTTCTGAATGAATGTAAGCACCCAACTCGGGAGAATAGGTCTTGAAATAACTCCTCTAGTTATTTAAAACACAATATAACCGCTTTGGAGAGACTTCATTTCATAATTGAGCTTAAAAACTGGTGTATGTATTACATCCAGGTAACTAAAAATCTTTTCATTCACTTGTCCAATTATCAAGGGGGGGGGGTCATGACCAGTCATCTCCTGAAGAGGCAAAGCTTATTACACCCAACCACACACTGCAGCCTTAAACCAAATGAGACATCTACAGCCCTTCTGCCACTAATAGAGGTTTCTGATGACGACACAATCTGTCGTTTCAAAGCTTCCCTGAAACCTGCTCCCCACAAGCAGGTTCGTGTGTTTGCCCGGTGGGGGCCAGTCCCTCCCGTCAGGTCAAACTCCAGACACCGATAAGTCTGAAGACCGTTCCCATTCTGGGGATCTTCAGTGAAACTCCAGAGCAACCTTTTAATATACCGTTAAGCAGGCTATCTGGCAAGGCTGACATTCAAAGGAAGACCGGTCAACTGAAATTGTTCGGGCCAAGGGTATGTCCACAGTCCTAACGCTACCCTTCTTCCTGTAGTGTGTTTCTACGATGTGTATGCTGTTTTTCATACATTTATAATTGAAGCATTCCAACACCCAAGTTAACAATAACTATGACTATTAAAATTTCAGTCAGCTTCCACCACCATGAAATATACACCAACTACCTTTACTGACAAGGAAAGAAAATTAATACTCTAAGACCTTACTATGACCATCTTTTACACAAAATCTGCAACCAAGGCAGCCATTCAACGCAAAAAAGACTACGAGATGTATGGTATACTTTGAAAATGCTACGATACCCCACGTACATCGTCAGTAAACGTTAATACACACAGCAAATCGACGTGACAGACGTCCATTAACATGTAAATTATATTTCCATATACAAACGCAAATGCAGCTGCACTGCAAAAAATATAAAATAAATCGTGTCATATTGTGGAAGACACTCAAACCGGGTAGATCTGCAATGTTATGCCAAGCTGGTTAAAACACAGTATTTAATGAGATAAAAGAAAAACTTGGGGCAGGGTGCGTAATTCAAACAATACACTGCAGTGCTGTAGGGGTGACCAGAGGTAGACGAGCTGTTAACTATGGGAAATACGGTGCCACAGTAGCACGCCAACATGGTTTTTAAACGTAGATTAACCATCGCCGGCAAAACCCAAGAAACACTCCGGGAATTTAATTATTTTAAGAAAAAAAAACCCATTAAATCTGCCCCAGTAGGCTAAGTCTCAACACCTCGGTTTAAACGTCGCTAGCTATGCAGCAGCAAAGCAAGCGCATGACCGGTAGTGACTGCAAAAAAAGAAAGGAAACAAATAAGCAAAATCATGTTTTTGTTTTTGCAATGGATTAACAGACACTATGGTACGGGGCATCGAAGCTGGACATGTGCGATAGATTATAACAGTGCATTAGTAGCTACATGCCAGGTACAGTGTATCCGGCACGGTGGCACTAAACGCGTGTCCGCAACGGAATAACAATGGGAGACATTTTGTACATCATTTGCTGTATCTAAGTCTAAAGTATCCTGCGAATTGATCTTTTTTGCCTCGATTAAACTGGCGGATTGTGCGTGCGGTGATCCGTTCGTTAGCCACATTTCCTTGACACTGAAGAGCGCACATCGGCCATTATTAAATCGCCGAGCTAACTGGGCTAGGGAAGGTTAATTAGTGTCCGATTTCGTTAAATCACACGTGTTGGGGACCGAGCACCACCACACTCTGCACACACGCCGAGAAATGCAGCAAAACGCAAACGATGTAAAGGTTGAGTTCACCATGTCAGATGAATAGGTAAAGTGTGGAGGATCTATTAGCCATCGTGCTTACCTTCGACTCAAAACTGCCCGAGGTTGATGTGCTTTAATCTCCAGGTCCAACAGCAGAAATCCACCAAGATCCTTCTCAAAAAGCTGATGCGCAGCCCTCTTCTTTACAAAACCACGACCACGGGGGGAGATCGTCTCTAACTTTACAAGCTCGCTTAGTCTCTTTCTTTCTTGATCTCTTTCCTTCAGGTGTAGCGTACTAGCCGGCGAGCTAGCTTAGCTTGTCCGTGCTGTCTGCTCAACTAGCGAGTTAATCCAGTAGTTTTTTTTTTTTTTTTGCCGTTTCGCTTTGCTAAGTTGTATTCTCCATACTCCGGTATGTACAACGTGCCTGTGCGGAAAACGTGGTAAAACACAGTAAGGATGTGTCCGCGATGTCTAGGCGGACCCGGCTGGGGGGTAGTTCCTTCTCTGAAGGTGCATGAGTACAATACGGAAAGTGAGGACAGCCCCCCCCCGATCACGCTGCTGCTGTAAATGCTACACTCCGTGCAACTCAGCCGTGTTTGTTCGGGCTTCGCTGCATACCTCCCTCTATTGCACAATGGCCTGCTATAATTTATTCATGAGATCATGAGGATGGAGCTTCTCCGTCGGGGGGAAAAAGCAGTTTTTTTTCATGTTTCTCTCCCCCTCATTGCCTTCCTGACTGACTTCTCCCTGCCCTCAGACCAGAATAGCAGATCAACTATTGTAGGAGTTACAAACAAGAAATATGTTGTGCCATCCGTAGTGTTTGCTTGCGAGTAGTACTGATGAGATCACAGAATACTTACGCCATTTTGGCTTTTTGCATTGTGACAGTGGCGTCGCTGAGACGATCTAGCATCGTATGAGTCCTGGATAAGACGATTTATATACTAAAATACCGTTTTTTGAGCATTGCCGTGAAACTTTCATGATGCTTGTAATCTGATATTTAATTACGGTTGTCACTGATGATTAATATAAGGCATAGTAGTCGGCAGTTAGATTGTTTTGGCAATATTTATTTTTATTAGTTTGATATGTATATATTATTCTGTAGTATTGACAGTAAAACACATACTAATATACAGAGGGCGCTATTTGTATTAAGCAAACTAAATTAGAATAAAAATGTCCTAATATATTGCAAAATATGTGTATCATAACATTTGTTTTAGAATTTTCATTTTTATGATGTCCTGAATGTTTTTTTATTCCTTAAAGTAATTAAATATTAATAGATTGTCTCTCTACGTATTATAACATAACAATATTGTAATTGTGAAAACGGCAATTTTGATTAAAAATTACAAATCTTAAGTTCATCACAAGGTTTTGTCTTGGTAATGCCCATAAAGTTTATTTTGAATGCTGAAAATAAGTAATCCATTCTGGTTTGTTTTTTTTTTTCTTTTTACTAAAGGAACTTCAGAACATAGTTTGGACGTTCTGTCCAAGAAAAGGTCTTAGCCAGTTATATGAATCTCGGCCAGAACTGAGAAATGTGCCTGGACGGCGTGTCCTGTTCTGGGCGTCTGCCCAGTGATGTGGGGAGATGGGGGAAGCATGTAAAATTGAGAGCAGACTGGTGTACTGAATAGCTGGAAAGCAAGGTCATAGAAGGTCAGGCCCAACCACACCCTGTATACTCCAGGAGAAACACACCATTCTATTAAAAAAAAAAACACTAAAAACGAAATGCTAGATGAGTGGCAAAGATTGACAGAACAGAACATACACAAGAGAAATCTATAGCTGTAACTTTAGTTATTGGTGTTTATCACTGACAGTTACACTTATGTCACTCACACACAATGTTAAACGGGCACCTATGAACTAAATATGAAGTACAAGGTAATATAAGCTTTTAAAACATTCACTGATGAGCACAAAATCCTTCAGATAACTAAGTGGGTTTTTAAAATTGTTCAGCATGTTAATTCTGAAATGTTGTGTTCACTTTAAACATCATAGTTACGATATTATGATATGCATTCACCTTTCTGACGAATATGTACAAGTCATGGTGGGGTTTCAAAGTGTATAGGTTCCAAAAAATGACATGGAACGGACTTTTATTACCATGTCAGTGCGTATCCATGTCTGCCTATTACCATCAGGTAGCCACCGTACTGATAACACATTTCTCTTCGGTGATGTAAGCCTTTTATAATTTGCCACTGTACACGTCATGACACTAAGATAGGCAGTGTGGGTTTGGAAGTTCAAAAAATGCCCCCATTTCATTTTTTTAAGATCAGATCACACACGTGTGCGCGCGCACACACACACACGTGTGCACATATGCACACACACATAAAACACCTGGGGTTTGTGGTGATTCTTGTACCATCCATCAATCCTGGTCACGGTTGCAAGGGGTTAATATACCATTACCATAAAAATTATTTCAGATACTATGCAAACAGTTTAAAATATATGAAAATATATGGAAATGGTTCAAAGCACACAACAATGTTTCCAGTGCAACCTATTGTGTTGCATAATAGATGGAGTGAACGTGTCCTGGGAGCTGAATAATACATTTCCGGTTCAGTATCTGAAGTTCCATACCTGGAGCATTTTATCATTCTGGCCTATCCTAAGTGCATGACATACACATTTCTAGTGAAATGTCTATTTAAATAAAAAGAAATATTAGGATTTGATAGAATTCAGTACAAGTGAGACCCAAGAGGTCCAGTAATGAGACAAAAAAAAACATCTAAAAAGTCTCTATAAGGTTGGCTGGATACTGAAAGTTTACATTAAAAGATTCTGAGGTAAAAATGTGTACTTCAATTTACACAGCCTCATACAATAGACAAAACGAGAAAGTATTTTATTGTGTAAGGCTGTGAAGATGGTTTAAAAATAAATAAAATGTATTTTCATCACCTTCAGTGAAAGAATAATGTCCAACTTCAAATTATCATGTTTTTCCTGGTAGCAGTCAAATTCCTATGACTCATCAACCACAATCAGTTAGTTAAAGTCATATCACACATCTGTTTCTGAATGAGTATCCAACTGCTAAGCCCAGTACAAGCATATATTTACAACTCTCAAACAACCTGATGTAGAATAAAAGTTAGTTTTGCAACCTCCTTAAACCATAATGGCAGCGCCACCTTAACCAACACAGAAAAAGAACAGTCTCTTTGAGTCAATAAGACACTTCACAAAACGAGAACGGGATGGACTGTACCACTTCGACTAGTTGGGAAAGTCTGTGTAATTACAGCACTGGGGAAGGACATTGTTTCCTGTTATTACGCTATCGTGCGTTACTACGGAGTAATGCTATGCTGCAGATGGTTGTAGTAGTCATTACGGTTAGAAAGTAGGGGAAAAGACCGAAAATAGTGCGCTCCCTATACCTCCCCGCTTTCGCAAAAGGGCTGGTGGTCTGTTCCGCCCGAGATGGCCGGCTGTCGCGCATCATGGGAATTAGCCAGCAGAGAGACAGAGAGAGGAGCTAGACAGAAGCTGCAGAGAGGGGAACAATGGATCTGGAGTTTCAATGTGCATCGCTGAATGGCACCCCCAGTCCTTGAGCTCTGGGGCCAGATTTACCATTATTTGCCTCAGAGACATCTGTTTACCACCCTGTCTTTGCAGGAACACTGTGCTAAAAAGAATCGACTGATCAGGTAACGAAAGTATGCGAACAAGTGGCCCCCGGGAAACGCACGAGCCCAGTAGGGCACCGCAGTGTCATTTTTAGGAAACGCACTCAAATATTTTATAAAGACTCCGGAATACCATTTAGAAGGTAGGCGGCTGTTAGTGGTACAAGAATCTCAGATAGCATTGAACGTTGACTGGAGTAGAACCATATTTTTTTGTTTCCGGATTTTAATGGCTAATTACAAAATATTGCATGATTGCAACAGCAGAATGTATTTCCCAGTGTAATATTTCATGATAGGTGCATGTGTGATCGAAGCCTGACTGAGCAGCTTTGTCTTTGAGCCGTAAGTAACGTAAGAATGACTGATTTAGCAACCAGACACAGGGTTAGTATTGTGACACAGCTGACCTCTCCAGCCCCTGTTTGGAACACGGGTGGGAAAATGCAGCAGTGAAATAAACTGAAGAAGCTGTCAGGATGTGGTTTGCTGAAAAGTATCTACCGTGTTTGTGCCACGGCACACTGGCACAGTTTATGCATTGCTCTGTCTGTGTGCTGGGGGGGGCAAAGTCAGCCCCTCTGCAGCTCAGGGTTGCCCTGGAAACAGGTGCTGATATTCTTTGCATTTTCTTCATCCCCCCCCCATCGACATAGGAGCAACAGAGCCCCCTCCCCTGGCCCAACCTGCCGCAAACCCTCCACCCAAACCTACTGCAGTCATTTGACACTGTCACACGGAATGTAGAAGCAGCCACCTCTTCCCATTGAAGGATGCGTCTCGTCGGGGGGGCCTGACCGCAGCTGGTCACGGCAGGTCACCGGTTGACCTCCAGCCAATCTGCCACCTAAAATCTGGCATCGCCATCTACTGTTGCTTTCTTTCCATCCAGTAGGCTGACAGAAACCATCAGCAAATATAATGGTCGTTTCTAGCGCTCGGCCGTCATACAAATCGCAAAACAAAGAAACATTATGTTGATGCTCCCACCGCGCTGATTCTTTGTATAGAATCAACTATCCTGTATCCTCAGTGTGATATCTGCAGCTGCATTGTCTGGCTGTAACATCTGTATTTATGTCTTCACAGGCATAGAAAGTGGTTTCATTTTCTGGCCTTTTTAAGTCATTCTTTTGTTGCTTAGCGACCTCTGCATTCCATTGCAGTGACTCCTGGCCAGCGGAGGAGCATTCCATGGAAGTCGCTGACCGGCAATAGCAGTTAGTCACTGAGCTGTGGGGGCAGGACCCATGGGATGGGTGTGCCTCTTCTTCGGAAACTCCAATGCCGGGCGTGGCAGGTGAACCACCCCCAACCCCCCAGTGTGCCCACTACTCCCAGTTCCAACAGTGACACAGCAGTGTTGGGTGGATCCACACATCCCCCGCATGTAAACACACATGCACGCAGACAGCGTCTAGACCAAGAAAGTACAGACTGAGGTTTCTTGTTAAATGGGAATTATGTTCAACAAAGCAAGATCTTGCGTAGGGAAAAAAAAAAAGTAAAGACAGACATAGAAAACTACAAAAAAAGTAACATGTTTACAGACGATGGGTGAACCTTGTAGTGGCAATGACCAGATACGAAAAGCTGAATCCCTCCATCGGACTGGAACATAGAGTTGAGTCGCCCAAGATCTAAGAAGCTGAGTAAGGTAAATCTTAATTTTTCTGAGTGTTTCTGTGGAAGATAAGATGGAGGTCAGGACCGATGAGCAGTCTGTGGAGATGCACGACAGCTGCTCCCTGCTGATACTGAGATCTTGAGCTTCAGCCTGGAAGGAACATTGTGGCTCTATCAGACATTAATCATCCCATTTTTAGTTGCAGATGTAGTTACTGTTACCTTGGTCTATACAACAATGGACCAAATCCAGCAGGAGATAATGGAGTGCAGATAAAGTCACATGACCTGTATGTATACAGGTTCAGCTGTTTGATTTTAGCAGCTAATGACCAGCGCAGGGAATCGGCCTGGACTGAGAGAATGAGCACATTGTAATATTCAAATGACATTAAGCCTCTTGAGCTTGAGTCATGCCAGGCTCCCCCAGTCGTGGCATCCTCTGCAGAAAATAGGGGGCCGAACAGTTAAAGATGGCACAACCGCTAGGTGATGCATGACCAGTCCTGACCACTTTTACCCACCCTGGGAGAAGTTGAAAGGGTTGGGCGGGGGGAGAGGTCACGTCTGGCTGGGCAACCTGCTGAGAGATACTGCTGCAGCTTTTAGTGTGGCTGGGGGGGGGGGGGGTTACAGGGGCGGGATCATGTGACATGTCACTGAGTGGAGCGAACACTGATGGGAAAAAAGCCCCCAGGAAGAGCCATCTGACACACACAGGGAGTCTTTCTCATTTAAAACAAGCTGTTGTTCTGTACACCAGAGGTGATCACCATGCGTGGGGGGAGGGTGAGCGCTGAGGGACATTGGCTGCCATAAAGAGCGGACGCACAGCCCCATTGGTCGGCTGGCTAATTAACATGATCTGTCCTTTTAAAAATCCTACCCATCACACCCTTGAGCGTTCCCCATTTTATCTTTAAAAGGCTGGAACACAAACTAATGTTCTGCTTGCTTGACCCTGTGACCCAAACACCTGTACCTGTCCTCCTTACTCCCGCTTTACTGCCGTTACTATGAATACAAAAGGTAGGCATTACTTAGAGTTACTCAGAAAAAGCCTAAAATGTAGGATTCTCCTGTTCTTTTTAAAGTATTAATTATTAAAAAAACATTTTCCTATTCAGGCATTTCATATGTTGTCATTCACATATTGTCATTGGACTATGATTCTGGCCTTAAATATTGCAGATATCTTTAAATATAATTCAAATACAAAATACTTTATTAAAAATCATTCTTGTTTAAAATGAATTGTACTATCTCCCCTTTCTTCATGTTCTGCCCATCCCCCATTCCAGTGAGCTAACTAACCAGGTCATTTGGAATTTACCCACAATGCCTCATGGGCGCTACCACAATGCAACATACGGATAGCATTAGTGGCTAGCCTGACCTGACCCGCTCTTTAACCTGACCCTTAAAAAAAACAGCACTACTCTACTCTACTTATGGGGAAAAGGGATCAGATCAATTATTCAAATGAGAAAATGGTGCCAAACAGAATGCCATATAAAATTTGGTACATTTGTTTCTGTACATTTCTGTATATTAATCAGTGCATATACACATCCTAGGACCACTGAATCAGTACATGTAGTACATGTACTGATTCAGTGGTCCTAGGATGTGTATATGCACTGATTAATATAACCCCAGATATATAGCTTAGGTCTTCATGTATATTATTGGAATCCAAACTGTTGTCAATCGCCTATGAATTTGCCATTTAAAATAATTACTTAATTGGTTGTTCGTTGCATGATTATTGCCCTATTGATATTCCGTGATGAAAGAGCAACCTGCTCTGTCCTGGTGCAGAAATTTGAATGTAACGATATGAAACTGATTTTGATACTAAAAAGATGATTTTACATTCACATTAATCATAAGGTTGTTTCGTTCTGAATAAATTAAAAGTTTTGGATATAATACATATTCAAATAAATAAGGCATGTGTTTTGCCCCTTCATCTGATAATGCGACTATTCGCAGCATCTGAAATTAATCGACCAATCCGTATTTCAAAAAGTAAAGCAGTATAAAAACAATCCTGACATGTCCAAGTACATACATTTTGATTAGTTTCCAAAAATGTGATCCCAAACTGCATGCATGAGTGGTAAAGAAATGTAACATAAATCTATTTTTTAGACGATTTAGAGGCCATGCTGGTTGTATGTCATATTTAGAAAAAAGGTGGCGGTGATAGTGGGGGTGGGGGGTTGAGTGGAGGGGGGGCGTTGGTGGCAAACCTTTCCAATGACGCCATTGCAGCAGATTGTAGCGAGGACAAAGATCGCCATGACAACGCGGGGAAATGCAGGAGAAGGCTGAGTTACGTCCTAGCTCGTGTTACACCCAGCCAACACACCGGAACCAACCTTTCGGCTGCAACGCCAAAGTCGGTGCAGCCGTATTATCCTGAAAATGGTTGGATTTGCAGTTACGGATGTTAACTTAAACACATATATATGCGGTTCGAGCGTATATTAAAAAATAAAATAATTAATGGAATTTAACACGTATGGTTTAATACGTAAATCAATGATCTTTGATTCCCTGTTAGCGTACTGTTTTCACACCAAGTTTTTAAGCAAATATGAGAAAAATCCGATTTTTATTTATATGTTATGCATTGCTGCCATCTAGCGCTCAAAGTGAAAAGAGAGTCCGTTCATTCTTTATTTAGCTGTTTTATTTGCTGAATATGGCGCTGCAGCCATGGAAAGACTTACCCATCCATTTTCAGAAACCGCTTGTCCTATTCAGGGTCGCGGGGGGTCTGGAGCCTATCCCGGAGGCTACGGGCGCGAGATAGGGAACAACCCAGGATGGGGTGCTAACCCATCGCAGGGCACACGCACACCTATGGGCAGGTTGGAAAATCCAGTTAGCCTCAGTATAGTTTTGGCTTGGGGGGGACCGGAGTACCCGAAGGAAATCCCACGACAATACAAGGAAAATATGCAAATTTCACACACATAGAACTCTAGTAGAGACTGGAATGCAGGTCCCAGAGGTGTTAGTAGACCGTGCTAACCACTGCCCCACTGTGTCCAATACAATTTAAGGCTTTGTCCGCACTAATACATTATATTTTTACAGGAGTTTCCAAAAGAAAAGATCTATGCCTGTACTAGAGTTATCACTTTTTTTGAACAAAAATTTCCACTTCCACAATGCTCTGTATAAATAGCAAAAGATGTAGCTTATGATGCATATTAGGTTACACTGGGCATGCGCCTAGGGGTGGGAACAGGAAGTGTCCTAAACGATAAGCGCCATTTTCAACTTTGTTCTGAAAGCGAGGAGATACGAGTACAATAATGGCGAAAAGCAAGAAAAGACTTTACTTTGTTTGGACTGATGACGAGGTGGATTTGCTTTTCAAGCTAACCCACGATTACAAGACGTGCAAGACAGCTCAGAACATTAACTGGGAGTCTTGCCATTCGAAATATGAAGATATACTGCAGCGCTATACAAACCAGTACCCATCACCTGAAGAGGCAGGATGCTGTTGTAAGGACTACCCTCACAAGACCAAAGAAATATCTAAGTTGATATTGTCTTTAAAGCTGAAATATATATGCATAAAACTAAGGCAAGCTGTCGATTCGCGGAGGAAGAGTGGACAGGGGAGAGTGGTTTTGCTGTATTTCGAACTGTGCAAAGTTATCTGGGGAGGCTTTCCAGCAACACATTCTCTTCCCGAAGGGGTGGAGACCCACGACTTGGAGAGGATTGACGACGACTCGGTTCTCTCCATCTCATCTGGGCCGTCTTCATTCCCATCCACAACAGAAGAGGACAGGAATGCAGCCAAGCCTGCTGAGGTCGACGAGACCGACTGGGTGCGACCCTGACTGAGCACAGAAGGGGCAGACTGTCCAGTGAGAGCTGGCTGACTCAGGAGGATCTGGATATAAAGAGGGTTGTGTTGCAGAGAATAGACGCTTTGGGCCAGGAGTTTTCGGCGACGATATCGTCGACAATGGAATGGCTGACTTCGAACAGTGAAAGACGTACCAGTGCCACTGTGGAAGACGTACCAGTGCCACTGTGGACTGCACAGCACAAACATTACAGCACATGGCTCCTCCATATCGTCATCCAAACCAGTTTACACATCCCAACATGCATGTACCTCATTGAAATAGACTACACAAACAATCAGCTTTAGTACTTGTGTAATTTGTGTATATATGGTATACATGAGTATTTGATAATATGTACATTTCTCATTTGCACAATCAGGCAAAACTTTCCAGAGTATTTTTTAGAATATATTTTATTTGTTCATTAAAGCTTGAGCACAACATTATTTGCACGTTTTGTTTGTCCAGCCAGAGTTTCTTATTATTCTAGAAGCGACAAAGTACATATTTTGTATTGTTTTTTAATTAAGTTAAATTTTTCTAAACGCTTTACTGTTGATCAATTTCACACATGACCAGGTGTTTTATTTACCAAAAGCAAAATACAGTACTGTAACGTCACACAGTTGCACATAAAAGGAACCATCAAAATCACAGTAACAACGCAGCTATAAAAAAAATATACCACGGACCCAGAAATTTGTTTACTGCACGTCTCACTCTCTTCCCCTCACTGACAGTGCACACTTGTCTTACTCTAATGTTCGATGGAGTCACTGTCACAGAACACTCAACTGTTCGTTGAATCAACATCTCTGTCTGTTTTCACTTTCTGGAACCGAACTATACACCTGAATAATTCTCCTTAAAAATAAACCACCTAAATGTTTCTAAACTGGTGCAATCACGTAGGCATCCTTCCTTCTTCCGTATGTTCTGGAATGAACTCCAGGTTTACCGTGGCCCTGAAATGCATAAGTGAAAATGGAGCGTTGGCTGATGGATGCAATATAACTTTACAATGCAGTTTATTGAAGTTATGAACTTTGTTCAAACGGCACTTTGACCTGACAACTGAACATTATGTTTCCATCCGTTCCTATAATATAGCCGTTCAGAGCTTGAAAAAAAATCAATATAGGAACTGTAAAAACGGACAGAAGTGTTCATGGCGGAGATGCTGATTTAAACCCGGAGACGATCTCAGCAGGGCGCCGATTAGAGCACACAGGTGGCCTGGAGGAGGAGGTGTTGCATATGGCGTTATGAGCCCTGAGTGTGCATCGGTCAGAATGCATCAGTCCGTGGTTCCACCAGCCTTTATTAACAACAGCACCTCGCTTTCGTGGGTATATACGTGTGGTTCTGCAACAAATTGAACTCCCGGTAAACATCACACACCCTCCAAATAACAGCAATTATCTAATTTCGGAATTATAAATTAACAGCCCTCTTTTATATTTAAACAATATTTAAACGAGTTAGCACAATAGCTCTGCAGCCGACTTAGCATGGGCTAACTATACGCACTAAGAACGCAATGTTATGCCATCCTTCATAAATGAGATATTTAAACATACTTAAAATGCAAAAACTTAAACTAGTAACATATAATAAAGGATTACAGTAAAGGGAACAAACGTTAACCAAACACAAACTTACGGCTCTTTGGAAGCACACGCTCCCTGAACTGAGCAAGCTGCACTAATTATGATAACGAGCTACAGATACCGCAGGGGGCTAAAACTCAAAACTACAGTTCCTACACAGTCCGCAAGGTGGCACTCGCTGCCCACCACTCCCTCCAACAGTCATCTTCACTCTTCATGACAGGTGGATTAGATAGCCAGCAGTTTATTATCACAAATGAAGCAATACAGAATACAAACGTACAGACTGCGGACACTTCCAATCTGCACTGTAGAAGCGAAGGAAAGAACACGCGGCAAAACCAACCGAAATTATCAACCGGAGAAGGGTGGAGTTCACTTCCCATGTAACACATCAAGAGATCTCACAGTCCCCCATACAGATATGCAAATATGCATCAAAGAAAGTAACCCAGGAGAGCTGGCAATTTTAACAGCCGCCCCAAATATGGACAAAAAATTGTTATTCATCAGGCCAGCTTAGAGTCTGAACAGTCTGGTGGTAAGTGTAGCAGCCGCATAAGACGAGCTACTGGTCTCACATACACTCTGTCCTTGACTCGGATCTCCGCTGTGAGGACCCTTCCATCATCGCCTGGATGAACTGCTGTCATTTTGCCCACCACCCACACCGATCTTGGCATTTGAGGGTCCACAATCATAACCACGGTTACAATTGCCATGTTGACTGGCTCCACCTGCCACCTCTGTCTGGTTTGAATGGTTGGCAGGTAATCCCGAATAAAGCTCCTCCACAACTGATCAGCCAACACTTGGCTATGCCTCCATCTCCTCCGGCTGAGATGCTCAGATGAGGGGTAGATAACCTGAGGAAGGGCGGAATCTGGCCGCCCCATCAAGAGGGAATTGGGGGTGATGGGGTCAGGATTGGCTATATCCGAGGACATGTAACTCAATGGCTTTGAATTTAAAATCCCTTCTACCTCAACTGGCACGGTCTGAAGGATCTCCTCAGCCACAGTGTGCGGGGCCATCATCCAAGACTAGGGTATTCTCTCCATGGCGTAACACAACTCGACATATCTTTAGTAATATCTTTTTCTTTCTATTATATTCATTATGTCTTTAAAGTAATTATAACAATGTTCTTTTTTCTTTTTTATCAGACATCTAATTTTTTAGGTTTTATTCACCTGACATGTTTCGACGTTCGCTGTCGTTTTCCTCAGAGTGTTACCGGATGTTGTCGGTAGCTCATTAGTTATCAGCTGATGTTCACGAAGGCGTGACCTTCCCGTCTGGATTGACGGATCGGTCACGCCTTCAGCTGTCTGTTCGTCCCCTGTAGGATGTCACTCCAGGTGTGTGAGAGCATGTATGCTCCCTCATCCCGGTTGATGGTCCTCGGGCTTCGTTTCCGGATCTCCATGGCCTCCGTGAACATCAGCTGATAACTAATGAGCTACCGACAACATCCGGTAACACTCTGAGGAAGACGACAGCGAACGTCGAAACATGTCAGGTGAATAAAACCTAAAAAATTAGATGTCTGATAAAAAAGAAAAAAGAACATTGTTTAGTAATATCTTCTTACTGTGTCTATCTATCTACATAGTGTTTCCACTGTGGAGGTACTGGGACAGGTATGCTCCGGCACGGTGGCACGGTGGCACGGTGGCATTGTCACTACTCGCCTTACCTTCACCATGAGCATTAACCTCATGCAACACATCAAGGTGCTTTCTCTCACACCTCCTGCACTTAGCGTTCAAGCTACACTGAACATCTGGATGACTGCGGCCACATCTCCAACATTGGTTATGCGTCATTATCCAGGTCTCCTTCTGCTGACTAGACAGAAGTTGGAAGTCAGCACCCTGATTCATGTAATGTCGCATGGTGTTACAGAAAGGACAGGCCTTTCCCGGAAGCCCTGAGAAGCTACGTCACGTGGCTGAGCTTCGTGCTTCTCGACCTTCTGCTCACTCCCATGAAAGACAGCAGCAGTTTAAGAGGAAGACTTCAGCTGGCTAGACCTATCTCTACGGATGATATGATGCTCCTTACTACGATCAGCAGCATCAGTTGATGGGCCACATCCCTGTACCTTCACCTCATATTCAAGCCACTCAGACAGATGATGGAGGGCTGGTATGGGAGTAACAACAGGGTTAATATACCTCCTAAAGTTAGCTCTTAGATCATGTGGCAGTTTAGCCAGTAATCTGGGCACATGAGATCCACAACTCAACTCTGTCAAGCCCTCTCGACTAAGCTGATCCAGCATTCCGACAAGTGCCCTTACCGTCAATGAAAACCTCCTGAACCCTGAACATCCCCAGTCCTAATGTTAGGCCCCTCCATCAGCTTAGCAATACGTTGTAAAGCAAGTTGGTGTGGCTGTCCATACAGTTCAATGAGAGCTCTCATCGTGTCATTGTATGGGTATTGGTTATTACTGTAGGAGTCAGCTATGAGTAAGGCTTCTTCAAACTTAAGGTGATCTACCAATATCTGGAACTTAAACCACTCGATCGCATCTGCTGGCAGTAAATTATCAAGGGCAACTCGCAAACTCCCAAGGGTCTTCATTCACGAAATCAAGGATTGTAGGATTAGGCCCACGATATAGGGATTCTTGAAAGCTATGATTGGAATAGCTGTTGTATTGATGGTTACTCATTGGGTGTGACTGGCTGTATGAGCTGTCAGTAACATAAGGGTAGCTGTCATGAGAAACAGAGGAGAAATAATGGATCAGTGATTCCCAGGCAGTAGGTGAGCTGTAGCGGATGGCCAGTGAGCAGCGGCAGCGTGCAGACTCATGGCTGGAGCGGTCGGCGGGCGATCGGCGGCAGCCTGTAGAGTCACGGCTATAGCGGTTGGCGGGCGAGCGGCAGCAGCCTGTAGAGTCACGGCTATAGCGGTTGGCGGGCGAGCGGCGGCAGC